TTTGTCATTGGTTGTAAACCAGTGTATCCAATAACCAGAAGTCTCTGTCGAGACTGAAGCTCTACTGGTTTGAACTTATAGCAAAGGAAGAGAAAGTACTTAAGCAGCTGGGATTTGAAACTTTATAAACAGCATTAAATAGAATAATGATCGTTGATAAAGTCTCTTTTTGTTCTTAGTGTAGTCTACTTGTGTGCCAAGTTATACTTAAATCAGACCAAAACTGTAGGAGGAGTAGCATTTTGAAACAATTTTACAGACATTTCTATTTTTAGTAACCACGGCAACACCGTTCATCAAAATTAAAATTCGATATATAGAATTATGTATCTTATTGTATTCTACTTGTGTGCCAAGTTATATTGAAATCAGACCAAAACTGAAGGAGGAGCACCATTTTGAAACAATTTTACAGATATTTCTATTTTTAGTAACCACGACAACACCGTGCATCGAAATCAAAAACCGATAAACAGAATTATGTATCTTAGTGTATTCTACTTGTTTGCCAAGTAATACTGAAATCAGACCAAAACTGTAGGAGGAGTAGCATTTTGAAAGAATTTCACAGAAATTCCTATTTTTAGTAACCACTGCAACACCGTTCATCGAAATCAAAAACCGATGTACAGAATTATGTATCTTAGTGTAGTCTACTTGTGTGCCAAGTTATACTGAAATCAGACCAAAACTGTAGGAGGAGTAGCATTTTGAAACAATTTTACAGAAATTTCTATTTTTAGTAACCACTGCAACACCGTTCATCGAAATCAAAAACCGATGCACAGAATTATGTATCTTAATGTATTCTACTTGTGTGCCAAGTTATACTGAAATCAGACCAAAACTGTAGGAGGAGTAGCATTTTGAAAGAATTTCACAGAAATTTCTATTTTTAGTAACCACGGCAACCCCGTTCATCGAAATCAAAAACCGATACACAGAATTATGTATCTTAGTGTATTCTAATTGTTTGCCAACTTATACTGAAATCAAATCAAAACTGTAGGAGGAGTAGCATTTTGAAAGAATTTCACAGAAATTTCTATTTTTAGTAACCACGGCAACACCGTTCATCGATATCAAAAATCGATACACAGAATTATGTATCTTAATGTAGTCTACTTGTGTGCCAAGTTATACTGAAATCAGACCAAAACTGTAGGAGGAGTAGCATTTTGAAAGAATTTCACAGAAATTTCTATTTTTAGTAACCACGGCAACACCGTTCATCGAAATCAAAAACCGATACACAGAATTATGTATCTTAGTGTAGTCTACTTGTGTACCAAGTTATATTGAAATTATACCAAAACTGTAGGAGGAGTAGCATTTTGAAAAATTGTTTACAGACAGACGGACAGACAGACGGACAGACGGACGGACGACGGACGCATTACTATCGCATAAGCTCTTCTGGTCTCTGACCAGTAGAGCTAAAAAATATGGTTAAGCACAGTTTTCACAACGCTACTCCTACAGTTTTGGTCCGATTTAAAAATAAATTGGCACATACGTAGCCTACACCAAGATTCATATTATTCTATGATTTCAATGAATGGTGCTGCCAAACCTTTAAAAATGTCTAAGATACGTTTGAAACACTACTCCTCCTACAGATTTGGTCCGACTTCAATACAACTTGACACTCAAGTGGAATACACCAAGATGCATAATTTTTCTGCTCAGTGTGGAGGTTTTGACGTTACTAAAAATAAATTTCAATGAAATACATTCAAAATGATACTCCTCCTACAGTGTTGGTCTAATTTCAATACAGCTAGGCGTCATACATTAGACTACAGAGACTACACAAAGATACGCAAGTCTATTGATCGGTGTCTAATTTTGACGAACGGCGTCATGGTTACTAAAAATAATATTTCTTTGATGATTCTCCCCGTACACTTTTTGTCTGATTTAATGATTTTATCTCCTGTATACGGGATTTATATCTCTCAGTTGATTAGATAAGAAAGAGCATGTTCTACTTATGAACAGTTATTGACAAACAAGTTGCTGAAAAAAACATACAGGCAGTCTCGTGTCAAGTCATTTTTTCATAAGTTCTGTAGTTCTTACAATTACCTTGTCAGCAAATAAACTTTATCGTGAGGTTAACTGCTGATTGACATTATTCATACGTATTGTAAGGCCATAATTTTCACAAAGAACTGTCGATTGATTTTTCCGTTATTTCCCAATCATGACAAGGAACACATGGCGGGTGTGACCGGTTGGCAGGGGATGCTAAATCCTCCATGGCACCTGATCCCATATCCACGACTATTTTAAGATCTGGTACCTGATTATCGATTTCAAGGCAAAAATAACAATCAACCACATAGACAAAGAGCTGGAATTAAAATTAATTAACGTCTTTTTCAAGTAAAATATGAAACAGGTGTGTCAGGCTCTGATGTACCTTTAATTTCAAGCTCACCGGGATATATCATATCGACATAAAAATAGAAATAATTATTGTTGAGTCTGATTGCAATCGTTCCACAAAAAGAGACTGAATCAAGGATCATTATTCTATTTAGTTTCAAGTACAAATGTTGTGTTTATTTTCTCCTTCTTTGTTACAAGTACAAGCCAGTAGAGTTACAGTTTCGACAGAGACTTCTGGTTTCAAGGTGCGTTACCACATTTTTTTTCCTTTCATATTGATTGAAAGCCAACATAAGTTATGTTTGTTTTTGTTTTTTTTATTTTGCCAATAGCAAGTACATAAATTTAGGTTTACTTCTTATGATAAAGGCATTGCTTATGTAAGAAACTCATTGGTATTGTCCCTTGTGGCTTATATCGATTTAGCTGTTGGAAATTAAAATAGATTGATTACTTGTAAAATTAATATTAATAGCTTGACTTTAGACGACACAAACTATTGTTCTTTCCCTAGCGGAAGGATGTTAAGTGCATTACTTTTTCGGTGTTTTCCCGTCGTTTCAAAACACAGATTTAAACAGCTTAAAACAATTACTTCTTCGGGGGTAACTTTACTATTTGTTACAAAATAACTGACAGTTACCTTGATAGTATATACCGATATTCTGTCTAGCCCCCCCCCCCTTAAACACGCACCCTGACACATAAAGGAAGACAAAACGGATAGTTACCTTCTTGGTATATACACTGTTGAGCTCCTCCACAGAGAAAAGAAGACGACAGAGAAAAGCGTCAATTTGTCATTTTATTCTTTGGCAGATGCATGTTTTAAACCAACATTAAATATTTACATCGTCAGACGATGAGATTTAGATGAGACGTCAACAAGAAGTACAAGTACACACGATTATTATTCACTTAAGATGATGAACGTTAGAGTCAACAAAAGTGAAAAAAATGTATTTGAGTTCTTTATGTACTTATATATACATTTGAGACAGATATTCGAGTTTTTGTAACTAAAATAATTATCATTCACTTTGGTTCATTTTTATACAGTCCAAGTAGAGCAGGTATTTTATAAGGCTTTTGTACCGGTAGATAGTATTGTTGCCGTGTGATTAATTATTCGTGATTGATAATCGATGCTGACCTTCACAAGAAACACGTCAGGTTTGATGAAGTTATTAGCTCTCTCACCGTATGTTTATATAATGGAGAGACTTTGGTTATATTTGCAATTTGATCGCCCGCGTGACGCAGTGATTAGAGCGTCTGCACAAGAGTCGATCCTTTCGTCGCGGGTTCGAATCCCAATGTGGGACGTGGAGACCAGTCCTTCAGATGAGACCCTACAAACCGAAGTCATACCGCATTATATGCTGGCATGTAAAAAGATCTCTCACTGTTCAATGGCCCTGAGTGCCGAGTAAAGGTCAAAATCTGCAGCTCCTCACCAGGAAATGGTTGCATCTCCATATGAGTGTAAAATACTCGAGAGGGACGTTGCATTAAACAACCTACAATCAATCATATTGTTTTGAATTTTATTTTAAGTCATATATATTAAAAATTAAAACATAAGTAGGTTCCTGCAAAAGTAATTGTTGTTTGTTATAGTGATATGTTTATATCATACGGGTGCCGACCATAAAAGGTTATATGTATAACTTTTTCAATATTACTTCAAAAGTATTGAATCCCAAATTTTAAAATCCTGACCCCCTAGGGGTAAGGTGGAGGCCACAATAAGTATTGCAAGGGGGATATCTAATGAAGAATAGCAGCGCCTAAGTTACCCAGTTGAGGTCTTATCGGCCTTTTGTTATTTTCCTTTTAGAATAAATTATTTTTATTTTATTTATATTATATCTTATATTTGATATTCTTTTAATTAAGAAAAATGTAATAATATCTTAAAGCTTTATGTCAATTGATAAATGTTGTATATGTATTTATTTATTATACAAGCATGAAGTACTTATGTAACTATGTTTTCTGTACATTTTGAAAACCTATTACATATATTAAACGGAAAAAAAAACTTTATAGCATTCACTCTGAATATGTATTAACTTCAACTTCCAGATTTTGATTCCATTCATTGATTGGTTTATTGATGCCTTCTTCAACCTATCTGTGCACGGGTTTATATCGAGTCAGGAGGATAAAATAATAGACAATTTCATAGATCTCTGTAGGATTCTGAGGCATATCCTTTATGCATTCAAAATCCTGCAAGACCTATAAATAACAGTCACGTCCATTTCACACATAAACACAACGAACAGACAACAAAAACAATGAAGTAAAGTAGACATATAAAGTAAGTTAATCAGGTATATAATGATCGGGACACCACCAAAAAACTGACAAACACATATAGGCAGTCGTGCTTCTTTTGACAGAGTCGATAAATGATATGGTAGACTAATTATTTCTATGTCGAATGGCAAATAAGAGAAAAGATATGACACGAACATTGCAATAATATGACAACACATCATAACGAATCATTGAGGCGTGAAGTTCTGTAGGCCGGGTTCTAACTCACAAAAAACTTTCAGGGAACAAGAGGGAGAGGAAGATTCGGGGGATCTTTATGGTTTTGTTCCACTGCAGGGAAAAAAACTCAATGTCTGATTTCAGTTAGGATTTTTAATTCATTGGTCACAAACATAAATGTACAGGTATGTAATTTATTTAGTTTCACTATTCAAAATTTTCAAACTTTTAGTTTCTGAACTTATTTTAATGAAATGAGTATATTTTCTCTCATAACATAAAATAACTAAAGACCAATCACAAAAATCAAAAATATCGAAATAAAACACTTCCCATTTAAAACATGCATTGACTAAAACTTAAGGTTTTTTTGCGCCCTCCATCGATATAAAATATTATCGTTAAATTTCAAAATTTAACATTAATTCAAAAGATATGAATATTCAACCCTCATTTGAACCGCCGTATATTTAAGTCACGCTGATCCTCATTTGTGAAAAAACTTTAAAATTTCAAACATACAATATAAATACGCCCTAATTTTTTTTTTTAACTCGATACTTTGTATTTCATGTTTCAAAGAGATGTTATAAAATTGAATTTTAAAAAAATTCCTTTCCTTATAATTAATGCCACAAACTTCTAAATAAGTCTGCTTGTCTGCATGCTTTATTTTTATATAATAAACATGCCACTAATGGTAAAAGACGAGTAAAAGGAAAGCAATTTAATGAATGAGTATCAATCATCCTGAGAACCTAACTTGTGGTCAAAGATATGGCAATAATTAACTTTTTGTTCCCTGGTTAGAAAAAGTCCAGTTTGCTGTTAATACATAATAATTTTATCATAAGGATATCAAAATTATATAATTTAAAATTAAAAAATAAAGGCAGAGCGAACAGGAAAGGTTCCCAGAAAACAGCAGGGCTGGGATTAGGAATTGGAGAGGAGGACGTCATACGCGTCGATGGCCGTTCGTACAAAGATGATTTAAAAACTAAAAAAATGATTATAATGGAAAAGTCCATGTTTTGCGGTGGCCGGAAAACCCAAAATATTTGTCGGATCAAAAACTAAAACAGGAGGTGCACAATGGCAATATAATAAAGATGAAAACCTCAGTGGTTTAAGAGGAGTTGAGGATAAGAGATGGTCAATATTCCACCTACATGTCACGAGAAAGAGATGATTGTATTGACTATTAGCATTTAGCGAAATGTTTACTTCAAATGTGATGTTGATAAAAATATAGCATCAACTTACATGTATTTTTCCGTAGACCGCCTCATTTTAAAGATTGCCTCGGCTTTAAAATATGTTAGTTTTGAAGACATAAATACTATATGCAGGTGATAATTGTATATTGATATATGATCAGGGAGGTTGGGGACATCACAGATTTCATCAAGTTTAAGTTGTTACAGTTTTCCACCAATGTCTTTTCTTTGTAATACATCCAAAATAACAATAGAATACTTTTGACTTTTATAATTGACTTTTTGTTGAAATGATTTATTTAATTATTACATAACTTGCGGTCCAACAAATTCTTGTGCTTCAAGTGCGTCTTTGACATCAATTATCATTTTATATTACCTACAGTGCCGACTAATTGAAAAGTTATGGTATTTTTTGGACAGCTAAGTCAAGTAAAACATGACATCCGACACTTCTAATAATCACCCCAGCAGCAAGTGTCACGTGACATTTTCATCACCTTAGTGGCACCGCACTTGTCTTCCATGAACTTTTGTACGGTCACTTTGCACTAGGGAGAGAGTGTCGTGTAATATTTGCATAACGATAAGTGTGCTATATTTATTGATGAGAGCGCATTGTAACACGAGTTTTATGGACGTTTTGTCAATGCTTTTACATATCTTCGAGTGATGTATTACATGCACGCACAATCCAACCACCTTTACCCATATAACATCAAAACCGCGACCTCACACACTTCAGTCAATGGACAACCTCCAGTCCCAAGTGTGGGTGATAATTAGAGAGTTCACATGAATTCACCTGCATGTTTGTCTTACCTTTCTAAGGCATGAATTTCATCAATATCAAGCCGCAGGAAAATTTTTCACCATCTTCGGACCATAAAGATGTAATCTCTCTATACAAGATATTAACGTTCGTATTGTAATATAAAATCTTTGTATAATATTCCCCCCGTTTCTGCTACCAAAAAAGAATACCAAAGGTTCTTTCATACGAGTAAAAAAAATCATAAAAATTGATGAATTATAGCGCACTCTTTACAAAGACATTTAACAGGATTAACGCGCCTCTTGTAAATTTAAAAGCTTTACTCCCAAGAGTTAATTACAAAAGTCTCTGGTTAATAATTAGTAAAGATATTTGCAAACCTCAACTTAATTACTCAAGTCAATGTCACAGGTGCATGCAATTAACAATAAATAATACAAGCAAAACATTGTAGTAAGGATAACCTTGCATTTTATGTAGCCAATAGTAGTCAAGTATCTAGATTTGTATGCACGAATTTAAATTATATACAGAATTCATTTAGGTTGTTTTTATTCGATAAATAAAACAGTGCAAATGCTTATTTATATATAATAAATGTACACAAAAATACAAAAGACTGTGGCAGTGCATTTTTATTACACTTATAGATAACCGGAGTGCGCAAAGCTTCTTTACTTAATCCTTGTTCTTTCCTAATTTTCTCTGATTTTTTTTAACCAACATAAAGATCTATATTTGAAATGAAATATTTTATCGCTAAAACCTAATTATTATCAGCATTCAAAAGTCTGTGTAAAATATAATGCGTTAATCGCAGAAAGAATTTGAAAATACGAATATTAAGATGTGCACATTTGTCATGCTATGAAACATATATGAATCGGTAACAATCTTACGAATCGTGCTAAAATTCTGGCACGTAGGCGCCTCATTAAGTCAACAAATAACATTTTCGACTGGCGTGCCTTGTGGAGAAGTATGCCATTTTATGAGGTCAAAGTTCACTTTTCCCACCTAATTAACAATAAGTAACGGACTTCTAATGAAGGTGAGCTCTGACAATTGAAGGTACGATAATAATAACCAAACAATAAATAATGTAGTTTATATAATGCTGAAGACTTGGATCACTTGTTGTTATACATCTCTTTCAATTTTACCTTTTAATTTTACAATTAATTATTGATTATTGCTCATAGAATGTATTTTCATACTAAAAACAATATATTGCAATTGATTATTTGAGGAAAATTTTCATACTTACTATAATTATATAATTATATATAAAAAGGATAAAATAAATAGTTTCTGTTTAACAAATTTATATTCCGTGAAACAAATCACCTATACTATTGTAACAGTAAAATGTTTAATTCAATTACTACAAAGCACATTTACATTTTTTTATACATTATATAAACAGCTAGAGGTACTGTGAGCAATGTGCTCACTAAATGATACCCCCGCCTCCCATATGAATATAATGACAGTGTCCATGTTTTGCCATGGGAAACCCTAAATATGTGTCGGAACAAAATGTAAAATAGGAGGTGCACAATGTCAATATGTAGTAAAGATTCGGTGAAAGTTTCATCAAATTTCATTAAGTGGTATGAGAGGAGTTGCGGGTAAGAGATGGGTACCCCAAAGTGTAACAGACGGACGGACGGACATACTTGTATCGATATACTCTCGCGGTTTTCAACCGGGGGGGGGGGTATAAAAAACTGAACAGGAAATTAAGAAAAAAAATCATCGTTAATACTATTCAATTACAGAAAGCTGATCCTCGACTACACAGTGTTTCAGATTTGTGAGAATATTATGGTAAGAGACTTTGATTTTAGTATGGGTGTCTCGGTTTCAGTCCGTCAGGCGCGTCGAAAATCGAGCCCAGAGGATCAGTATTAATTGCCTTATTGTAATGACCAGTATCTTAATTCCTATAACGTAAAGGTTTGTATGCGGTGAATATATTCAAATAACTCCCTATTGCACTTCCCAGCTTAGTTAGTAAGTAAGTAATTCATTATAGTGACATGTGTATTGTTACAGTAATACAATATATTTTACAACAATAAGCTTAATTTCTTGCACCCGGCCCAAAGGACCTATATGTCACTGCTTATATTTTAACAAATTATATATATATAAAGACACATAATGAAGATAAATGATATTAGAATGTTTTCTTTGTGAAGTTCTGACGAACTTTAAAAGCATCAAATATAAAGTTTGCAGAATGTCCGAGAAATTTACATAAAATATCTGAAAAGAAAGTACTATAGTATCATCGCTCACTCCTCCATGGCACCTGATCCCACCTCTGATGTTTCGGAGGTACGTGTTTGCTCTGCTCCAATTTTGTATTGTTTTATGGACTTTGATATTGAATACTGTTCGTTATCTCCATATCCTTCCATCTAAAGACAGATTTGATAAATTTTTAAATCCTACTTTACGAAAGCAGTCTATCCTTTTAATTTCATATAAATTGCAGTGAAATAAAAAATGTTTTTCATGTTCAATTTCATTATTATTACAAAACTGGCAAATTCCTTGAGAGATTTATAAGTCCATTTCATTAATTTTTGCCTTATTGTTTAATGATTTTAATTAAGCTGCATGGTGATAAGTTTGTGTATATATCCGGCATATTCAGAGAATCAAATAGTAATTTAGTTTTTGAAGTTCAATTCGTTCATTATTTTGGTCACTATCCCAAAGGAATATTTTAAGGTTTTTCTTGTAATGCGGAATCGCAATATATTCGAAATAACTTCTCCTTGGATTGCAATCAATGATGTGAATCTGTATTCCCCGATGCACCATCTCTGTACAATAATAATTTGTGGTTCCCCAAACATTGAGATATAACTTTTCGAACGTTTCGAGATTTTGACTGCATTTCTTGTAAAATCGGTAAAGTAAACAGTTAGTAAACATAGATCATGTGAGAACTGAGGGAGGCAGATCGGTTTTTTGAGGGGACAGGGGGTTCAAAGAAAGACGCAATTTCTTTTTTGGTTTCATTTCCAATAGCGACACTTCGGTACGTCTAATTTATGGACCCTTCATTTCTGCTCTTATGCACATGCCATGAAATTTTATTACATAAGGGGCGTGCATTGTCGGTATACATATACCATTCCATGCATTTTTAAGGCTTTTTTAATTGTCATTGAAGTTTAACAATTAAACCGCTGATGATCGCAAAACTCAACATAAAGTACATATGCTCTACGTCACTACGGAAAAGTTTATGTAAAATGGTTTAAATTTACTTGTATCTTGAAAGCCAAACATTAGGGTTACGTTTAAACTTAAAATAACCCGTCTTAAGAAGTCTGGTATTTCGGATTGGATCATTTCAGCAACATTGATCGACGTGAAAGCTGGGAAATCGATTTTTGTTGCACTTCGTTATTTCAAATATAGAAAATATTCTAGAAAAAATTGAACTGATGAATGAAGAAAGAAATGGATAGATGCCTCACATATAAAAATGAACTATTTACGCACAATCACTGTATTGCCACTTCGAACGGCGCATACAAGTTTTTTTAGTGTTTTACAGTTATTAACCAGTCTGCGGGTGCAATCACTGATGATACTGCCACCTCTGATGTTTCGGGTCGTAATACAAACTTAATAAATTGTTTTAAATTTGAGATGCTTTACAGTTTCAAAACTTCAAGTAAAAAAACTTCACTAATTTAATCAAGTAAGCGGGTCCTGAAGACATCAAGGCTCTTAGATGATGCTATATGTCAGTGGGTAGAGCGTTCCTATCCCTGATGGTCCAGGGGTAGAAGTATTCCTTCCGAACTTGAGTGTTACTAGATGATACTTGGATTAAGAAATGTAAGAGTCTTGACAGTGACACTAGTTTATCCGATGTTTCAATTTTGACTAGGCCATTTCGGATTTTATACAAAAGGATTAACCTGGTTCTCTTTCTATGATCCTCCAGAGTTTGTCAGTGAAGGGTGTCCAGCATATCTGTGACCGACGAGGTGTTGTGATATCGGTTGGTCACATATCTGGCTGTCCTGCAATGGTATTTTTAGCTTTCTTGCAGATAGTGAACATTTGATGTTTGTTGCCTGTCTGACTGTTGCTGGAACTGTACACGACTTATTTTTATTTTCAAAATTAAAATCAGCAAACGACACAAATATAAATCAGTAAACGATAATGTATGTATGATGTAAGGCGAAACTTATAAAACTTTTGATTGGTTCTTTACATTGCAGTCATATGCACGAAGCACCAAATGAAATGTTACATTTTTAAACTGTTTAATTTTTTCACTTAAAACATTTTATTGTTACTTTTCAATAATAAATAGAGTTTTTTTTTTATTTATTATCAAAATTTGTTTGCGAGATCGATGATGATGATTTGAAAAGATTGAAAAACAGATCCATAATGAAAGATTAATGAGTATACATGTACATTGCATGAATAATAACAGGCTGACCTTAGATATAACCCCAAAAACATCTCATTGAAAGCATTTTTTTTTAAATACTATCTAAAAAATGGCGTCTTACTTGTCAACATGTCGCCATATGTTTTGTGTGTATAAAATTGCTTGTAACAATCACGAAACATATTAATTATTTTGATTATTTACATAATTTTTCGTATTTTAAACTTGGGCGCTGTCTTTTGAAACGCTTGCAGTTGACACTTTGAGAACTTTTTAAAAATTAATTAATACTTTCCCATGTATGCAACAAATGTAAAAAATTTCAAATTTTCATTAACTTTTTTTCGGGCTCTAATTTTAGTAAGTAAACTTAATTCAAAAGGCAGGCGTTTTCAAAGTCTTTTTTTTTTAAATCCTATCTAGAAGGGAGTTGTCACCGCCTGATGAACTCCTAGACACCTTATCATTCATCAGAACTTTTTTTTGTGATATACAAGTATAATTATTAACAATTTAAGAATACTAGACCCTGAAATAAATTCCTTTTTAATATTCATTGTGGCAATATGATGAATTTATTACAAATAGTATGCAAAAAAAGAAGAAAGTAAAGCAGTAGTCCTAACTTTTTAGCACAGAATGTGTTGGCAATTTAAAAGGTTCTAGAGTTTACTCTTTGTTTTGGTTTTTGTTGTAAAAATCATTGCTCATTTTTTTGTTCAAAACAAATCTTCTAAACTCGAATGCTGAGAAAATTGAGAGTTACCACGTGGTTTCCATTATATTCAAATTTCATTTTTTGTTTTATATCAATCATGTTTCAATTATACCATGACTGAGAATAGTCTTATGTTGATGACTTCTTTAGAAATAATAAACAACACAAAAGAAACAGAAACTAGAATTCTGTTTTTCTCATAAATATTTCTAAAGGTCTTGGAATAGTTCATGGACATTAAATATCAAGTTTTAGGATTCATCCATCAAATGTGTGAATCAACAAAGAACAAGGATTCTAGAAGTGTCAGATTAATACCATACTTGATTATATTTGCCCAAATGTCCATTTCATTTAGAAAACGCCCACAACTTATTACTAGTATTATAACCTCTAAACTTTTGGTTCCTTCCACCATCAATATGTATTCCACATTTCATGCAAAATGAAAAGACGAAGAGCAAAGTAAAATGTACATTGCACTTACACATGTATTCTTTACTGATGAAGCAGTGATGACTTTATTTTGCACCTTTAACTTATTTTAAATAGAATGTTTTAATGCATTAAGTGCTTTGCAAGATACCTTTACGGAAAATAATTGAATAAAAGCCTAAAATATCTCCCATGCTCTCCAAATGCGGGGCTTTCTGTAAAATATCGTACAGTCCATGGGTAACTTGGATAATGGAGAAGGCCAAGGATTATTTTTTGATCTTAGAGAGAGAGAGAGACCGGTAATCAGATGGACTTGGGCGTGTTCCTGGAAGTGCTACTTGTTACCAATTAATTCCATTTTCACGCCTCATTAATAAATTAACATCTAACTCATTCCTTCGGTAATGAATGATGGCTATTTGACAAAACAATGTAAACATTGAATTCTAAATAAGTAACAACAAAATGTTAATATACCTATCAAAGCTCCGTGATTGAATTTTTGTTCCAGGCATAGTCCTTCTGTTCGATATCGGGCGAACCAACTGCGAACCAAGTTCTGTCATGCGTGAACTAAGTAGCCTATAGGACCGTTACGAAATTGTTTTTGCATAATTTATATTTCTATATAAATATCAGACTTGTCTGTTACATGTTTTCTAAACTTAAAGTACGTGAAATCCAGAAGTTAAATTGAAATCCAACTGACTTTTTTTTTAAAAAACGTGAAAAAACACGGGTCAATGACTGCAATGCGAAGTCTTCAGTGTTAATTTTGTTTTAATTTTGTGTTTTTCTTTTTTAAATATATTACAGGATGCCTATAAATCGGTTCCTACAGACTTTGTGTTATATTAGTGTATTAACAATAGGATTATCGTCAGCTAAATTAAAAAGAGGATATTACCCTGGCTTGATTGACTTTTGTTCCAATGAAGAAGTTTACGTAGGAATACCTTGGAACTGCAATGGCTATCTTCATTGTCAAAATGCCAACGGATTAAAAATGCCTTTCTGGATAGACTGTCCTGCTACACTTTATTATAACTACGACAGCAAAACGTGTACATGGCCCCAAAACAGCCTCCAACCATGCCAGAGAACTCAGGGTGAGTTGATTTGTCGTATCCTCATATTCTTACGTCAATACATGTATTTATGTTATTAATCTTCAGTACTATAATTTAATCTTCGGTACTTATATTCCGTCTTCAGTATTTTTATATTCAAAGTTTGATTACTTATGAATTTACTTCAGTATATATTCCTTTTATCAGTTTTTATATCTTCAACTTGCAATCATCTCAAGTACTTTGTAATCAAATTCCATCTTCAGTATTTATATGTATTGTCCAACCTTCTGAAATTGCTTCTTTTCATTACTTATACAGTGTATTCTATCTCCAGAATTTCTATTCAAATTATCAGTACTTGTATTCCTATTCAATACATTTTGTTTGCTGACTTCTTGGAGATCAATCACAGGGGCCATAATCCAAAATTTTTTTTTTAATTTATTCATCTTAGTCTCACTATTACAATTGGAATGTGATATTGAGATCGAAAGTGAGTTGGATAGCCCGTATGGCGCATTGGCAGTCATAGGACGTCGGCTCTATAGAGTCACGTAAGGAATTGATCCCTACCTTACGGGTTCTAATCCCACTCGGGGACGTGGAGACTGGTCCTTCGGGTGAGACCGTATAAACCGAGGTCCCGTGTCGCAGTCTGGCACTAAAAAGATCCCTCACTGCTCAATGGCCCTGATCGCCGAATGTAGGTCAAATTTGCAGCTCTCCAGTCGCAAGTGGTGGTGTCTTTAAATGAGTAAAAAATTCTCGAGGTGGACGTTCAACAACAAACAAAATATACATGTATATAATATTATCAAAATAACTGGCGATATGAGATGTTCTTCAAAACAATGTTCCAAAAAAATCTATGAAGATTTTAATTATTTTTCTGTCTTGAACTTCTAATAAGACTCTTTCATACCAAACTCTTAAAAATCAACTGCCCATAGTATGTACGTCAAGAAATATTCTGTTATTTCTTCAGCATTTAGAACATGGGGTAATTCAGGTTACAAATCTAATAAATGTCGAGATTTTGGAACTTTTCATTGGTATTTATGTAAAGAGGATGCACGTAGTTTGTCGCCTGTCATAACGAACATCTTGTGAAGTCTAGTTTCAAATAAAAGTCCTTCTCGCTACTAATGGCATTCGGCACAGTAAAATATATGTTGCATAGAATTTCTTTAAATGAACTTAAATGTCATAGTAAGCTCTAAAAACTTCAAGGAAATTAGAAAGCAGACTGGTGCTTGGGGCAAACTTATACACTTTTGACCGCAATGCATAAATTGCCATGCGCTTTAACAAATAATGCAACTTCAAAATTTAAGATAAACATATAGGAAAAGTATGCTGTGTAAAATTTTTACGTATTAAAGGAGTCAATCGGATATATGAATCGAAATGAAAAATTTTGATATGTTAGTGTGTGTGTGTGGGTGGGGGTGGGGGGGGGGGTTAGAAATAATTAACAATTAACTTACTTTTTTTTTTCTCCTTTACATCTGAAACAAAGGCGCCTTTATATTCATTAATTATATCTCGTTTTGTCCTAGTATTGCAAAACATAAAATATAAGATAAAGAAATGGAGTACACTAAAGATCATTAACTAATTTAGGAAGAAATAGCATTTTTAAAGAGCAATCATGACGTTATACGCTGACACAACATATAAAAATGAGTCCATTTCACAGGGTGTGTCTGTTTTCCTTGACAAAAGAAATTATTAATGCTAAGATGTATATCTTTTATTATTGCAATAACACGTATTTTTATTTGACTGTTGTCCTATCTTAATTAAAGAAGTACATGACATGCCTTTATTTATAATTACCAATTCATCAATACATTCATCTTTTTTTCTGGTTTGTAAGTTGTTATGACGTACCAGCTAACCCATGACTTATGAAGGCAATTTGGTCGCTTATACTACTTAACAAATTAAAACTTCATTATATGTAAATCTCTGACCCTAGCAAGTTCTTTTTAATTTATTATGACGGGCCATATCTCTCACGTGTAAACAAGCAGAAACAATGAGACAGCACTCGTTTTTCATTTCTCAAAAAGAGATATTCCTTTACATAAGATTTCAAATGGTACACAGTATTTAGTTCCTCCTACGTCTTTCATTTTTTAATGCCTTGGTGTCCTTCTGAATTAATTCACTATCATCTAAATACCATATACAGAAGATGGAATACAGTATAAAAGTCGCCAAGTTTCAATAAGTAGAAAATTCATCAGGGTTATTAGGGGGCTGTAATAGGTCCCATTCCCAATGGTAAATAGTATGTGTTTTCCCGTATTTCTTAAAAGAAAATTCCAAAAGAGAATCGAACCAAACAAAATCATGGTACAAAAATTGTCAGTATATCAGGCATGGTGTTTAAATAAATTAAAAGGCATGCTCCAAACACTGAGCGACTAAATGCAGAATAAGTCAATAAATACCCTGCAAATGAAAAAAAAACAACAACTCCTATTTGAATTTATTTAAAATAAATAAAATATGAATTATGATATTTCCCCCGATTTCAACCAAATGTAGTTATTTTTCTCAAATGGAAAGACTCGGGTACTTTTAAAACCTTTAAAAAAACTTGCGTATACATGTACATCCATATACCAAACTTGATGTAACTCTGTACAGCCTACAGCAATAAGTAGCCAAACTACATGTAACTATTCTGTACAACTTAAAGCAGCGAGTGATTAAATGAACTATTCCGTAGCTTAAAGCAGTGGATGATCAAACTAGCTACTCTGTACAACTTAAAGCAGTCAGTGATCAAGCTAACTACTAGTATTCTGTACAGCTTAAAGCAGTAATTGATCACACTAACTATTCTGTACAGCTGACATGTATATCTGTACATGATGCTCAAACTATCTATTCTATACAACTTAAGGTAGGTCCGTACTTTAAGAATTTTCTGTCAAACTGATAATTTTTCAATTTGAATACCTTGAATAAGTCTTAAACTAACTAAAACACCCATAAAAGGCATATCTTTGCAGGTTAATTTTCATACAACAGGTCTCAGAGCACATACCTCTAAAAACTCAACAGCCAAAATTGAACATAAAAAAGTGTCATATCATATTTCTCTTAGTTATGCACCAAATCACATCAAATTTATGTTAAAACTTATGAAGATCAAAAATATTCATTTGCCAAGAGAATATTTGAAATCTTTACTGCAAAACATTAACAAATTGATGTTGAGTCTGTCCATGTCTTTCAGGAAAAAATCTCAAAATATCTTTATTTTTTATAATTCTCAAAATTCAAACTGTTTAGATGCCATTTTTTCTTTAAAATTATTAAGAATTATATCTAATGTTAACAAAAACACATACTTTATTATGGTTGACCAGAGAATTTTTAACAAACTATTCTTTGTAGAGTTTAAACCAATGGGTGCTCTAACTAATTCTTTGTACAGCTTAGACCAATAAGTGCTCTCTTTTGAAGACGTATACCCCCAATTTTGGAATATCAATTTTTTCAATTATTCATTGCAAAATTTTTAAAAAGTAAAAATTAAATGGATGGTATAGGCTCTAAATCAATAAAAATAGATCTTAAGTTAGTTTGTTTTAAAAAAATTTGAAAAAAAGTTTAGGTCCATAAAGGCAATTACGGTAAGAATTTTGTGTCTGTGTTCGTACCAAATGACATATAGATCCTATGGACAGAGTGCAAAGTGTTAATTTCCATAAATAATGTATATATTAAATGCTTTGTATGCACAATGACACTATAATAAACAAATATATACTTGCTAAATTATTTTCAATCACCCAAAAAGATTTTATATCAACAGACAAGTGAGAATCAGAATTTTATATTGATGTGTAAAATTAGAACCGGATCCGTAAAAGTGTGGGCCTTCCTTAAAGCAGTGATTGAACGAACTAACTATTCGGTAGCTTAAACCAGTAACTGAGCAAACTAACTATTCTATTCAGTCACAGCTTATATCTGTACATGCTCAAACTATCTATTATATACAGCTTAAGCAGTGATTGATTGAACAAACTAACTATTCTGTAGCGTAAAGCAGTAAGTGAGCAAACTAATTTTCTAGTAGTGAGTGTTCAAACTAATTATAACTATTCTGTACAGTTTAAACCAATGAGTGCTCTAACTAATTCTTTGTACAGCTTAGACCAATAAGTGCTCTAACTAATTCTTTGTACAGTTTAAACCAATGAGTGCTCTAACTAATTCTTTGTACAGCTTAGACCAATAAGTGCTCTAACTAATTCTTTGAACCAATGAGTGCTCTAACTATCCTTTGTACAGCTTAGACCAATAAGTGTTCTAACTAATTTTTTGTACAGCTTACACCAATTAATGCTCTAATTCTTTGTACATTTTAAACCAATGAATGCTCTAACTAATTCTTTGTACAGCTTAGACCAATAAGTGCTCTAACTAATTCTTTGTACAGTTTAAACCAATGAGTGCTCTAACTATTCTTTGTACAGCTTAGACCAATAAGTGTTCTAACTAATTTTTGTACAGTTTAAAGTTTTAAACCAATGAGTGCTCTAACTAATTCTTTGAACAGTTTAGACCAATGAGTGCTCTTACTAATTCTTTTTACAGCTTACACCAATGAGTGATCTAACTAACCGAGTCTCGACTCGATCCATCACCACGGTTAAAATATGTCCCCATGTACTTTAAAGTTGCAGTTTATCAAATCAGAGCAGATGCGCTCCTCCGCATGATTCATAGAGTTGCAATTTATATATCTAAATAGCTTTTTTCAACGCTTGTAAATCATATTCATGCAATTATATAAAAAATGTTTACACGCTTTAAATTTATCGAGATCCGACATGTTGACGTTCGAAAGTCTCTGAACTGTTCATAGTATACACTGTACATTAGCTTGGTTCCCTGTCTCATTAAAGCCAAAGCAGTTGCAGCTGACAACACAGAGCATAAAAGGAACGTTAACAGAAAACTAGACTAAATGTGTACAACATAAGAGTAATCGTTCCATGCTTATTGCCCCTTACCAATATATTGAGATCAAGTCGGGGCAATTTCGTTTTAAAATGAAAATTATTTTATTTATATAAACATGTGTGTATATTTATTCAACTGTTGCTACATGTAACAGCAAAACATTATCATATACATGTACAAGTAACCGTGTTTTTTTTTTTTGGTTGTTTTTGTTGTTGTTGTTTTTTTTTTTTTTTTGTTTTGTTTTTTTGTTTTTTGTTTTTTGTTTTTTTTTTTTTTTTTTTTTTTTTTTTTTTTTTTTTTTTTTACATTTAAACGATTTTTTCTATTTTTGATTAATTTATTCCGCGACTAACTTGCCAGGAAGTAGAATTACATCAGAATTTCCTATGTAGTGATAGGTGTATCAGTAATTTAACACATGTTATACACAAGAAAGGACTGAAATGAAAGGTTTCGTGACAAAAATTATTCAATAAACGTCAATTTTTGTGATGTATGCATTTCATTCCAATTATCAAATTCTTAAAGACAGTGGATGCTTTATTTGACGGTGATATTCTGAAGAAGAAATAAATTATCTACAGATAATTAAATGATCCCAGTGTAAATTTGGTTTGTTAGATCAAAAACAATAAAATTAGAGCTCAATACAATTCTTTATCAAAATTACAAGGCTGTCAAAGATTAAGAAAAAATGGGATTGACGAACTTGATTGATTTGTGAAACATATACGATTTGGGGTTTTTTATGATTGATTATAATTTCTATTTGTCAATTTAAAATCATTTTTTTCAGCCTATATTTATGAATACGAATGTCTGTCGCATATCATTTTTAACTTGATAAAAGAAATGACGGGGCCTATAGTTCAACTGGTACAAGAAGTGCTTTGTTTTTAAACGAGTCCAAGAAAAAAACCAAAGGACGGTGAATGAATGTATCTGTTCTCCTTCAAAAATACAGAGGCCAGCCCTTTTTTCGAGATATCATTTGAAAGATCTTGGAATTCTACACTTTTTTGTTCTATGTGTTTTAACAAAATATTTCCAGGTAAAAAGATATCGTAGAAAAGGTGTTAGAAATTTTGAAATTCGCGATATGACATTTTTCGGGCCACAGCGAGCGCCGACGTGCGGCACTTCCGACAAAAATGAAATACTTTTTGCAAATTTATAGACTTAGGTCTATCATGCCTGAAAGTTTCATGTTTCTATCAAGAGCCATGTTTTAGAACGTATGCGGAGAACATGGCCCTTCAAAAATCATAAAATCGAGAATATTTCCGAACCGGAAGTGACGTCATCAATAAGGAAAAAATGTATGTTACATAAGTCCTAAAAGTTTCATTTCGTTTATGGAACATAATAACTTGTATATTTAAAGAATGGGTGGTAATATGTACTCAGTATTTAAGCTAGAGGTTAAGAAAAAAAATAAGTTCAGTGTATATGCAACCCGAAACCTTGGGCTCTGTTAAATAATTACCGGTGTCTACCGGATGCTATTAGTTTTAAGTAATCATTTAATGCATGTCGTTCAGTTTTGTTGATATTCTGTTTTTCCGGGTTCATTTTTCCCTTAAGATGTAGAGTTTTCCTTTGACAAATTATCACCAATTGTTTTAAAACATGGAAATATCACACTTTCAAAAAAGCAATGTCTTGCTAGATTATTCACCACTGACAATAATACAACATACATGTAGTTTAATATACTAACAGTAGGTAAAAGTAGATATGCGCCAACACCAATAAAATCCCAAATATTCTATTCAAACTTTGAACAATTATTTGGATGGCCACCTTAAAAAATCCCCAATTTACCTCATCATCTATATTATCTATATCGATCCGGAAGTCATTTAAATAAACAGACCTGATAACTATTGTAAATTATTTGTTTATCAATGATGATTTTAATTATGACACAAAAAAAAATTTATTATCGTCAATTATCATGAACATTTCCTGTAACTTACATTATGCTTCATTCTTCCCAGGTGAATATGAATTTTAATTAGCCATTTAAATCACTCTGAATATGTAAAAATCTATAAGACATTTCGTCGTTCCAATCCTATTATTCAATTAGTTTGGATCTAGCCTTCATCTAACCTTTTCCAATTGATATTTGTAAATATTAAATTAAGGATTAGAGCAAGTAGGCATACTTAGAGGCTTTTGACAAAACAAAATATTATGTTACATCTTGTTTCAAATTAAGATGCATTCTGAAATGTTTAACAAATTTTGACCTCCTGCCTAAATGGGACAGAATAGCCAGTCTTGGTTAAAATCCTGAAATTTATTGTCCAGAAGAATAAAGAAGAAAAGAATTTTTTATCGTAAATTATTTCCAGTTTGGAATAATATAACCCAAAAGGTCTTTAGAGCTCATTTTGACGGGGGATCCAAATCTGATTAATGCTAAATATGGTTATATACATGTAAGCTTGATCAGTTTGTGCTCACTAAGAACAAAAATTGAGTGAAAAAGAGAACGCATTTATGAAGGTTTGACTTTCCACTTCACTATGTCTTGTCAGAACCTAGTATCGTTCACAATGTCTGCAGTAAATTCAGAAATAATGAAGAATGTATCGCTTCATTTTAAAGTATACAAACGTCTTGTTTTATCCCTTCCCCAAGTTACATACATGTAACATTTATTTCCTTGCTTGTAAATCAAAAGTCTTGTTCTCCATCTTCTCTCAATTGAAAAATCATGAACTTGTTCATGTATTCAGTTCTCGACAATCTGCACTTTTTTCCACACTTTTACATTTTTTTTCAGACGTTGTGAGGAGCTTCTGTCCAAACCATCCAACTGTGCAGGTACTACACCCGGAAAGCTGCGCTCAGTACTACGACTGCAGCAACATGAACAACCTCCCAAATCAGCCTGCCTATCTTAATGAGTGTCCTTACCCGAAACTCTTTAACGCCGAGACCCTCAGGTGTGACGACTACGCCTCGGTAGATTGCGGGGAAAGGACAGAACCTCTCTCTCCTTGTGAGTTATTTGTATAAAATATTGGATATTGCTTAAAATTTTCTGAAAATTGGTTTATTTTGTGGCGAAGACGTTTCGAACTTCTTACACAAGATTCAACATTTTTTAATTGTGGTCTTTATCCCCACCAATTATTTTATCACATCCCCTTTGAATTACTTACGGGAAAACATCAAGTCTTAATTTAAATTTTTGAAGGTGATTACGTCAGACATCAGTGTTCCGGTCCGGACTGCACGCCGTGTACTGATCTGATACCCGGATGTGAAGGCGTCCCAAATGGTCCCACATCATACCAGGGGAGACTACTCACAAAGTTTTACCTAACGTGCCGTAACAACAAGACCCAAAAAATCGAAATTTGTCGAGACGGAGTCTTTGATCCGGTACTGGGGAGGTGCACTCGAGACGTCGATCCACGTAAGTTCATGTTCAAAACGTCATTACTTATAAGACCAAGTCACAAACATGCCTAAACGCATGCTTGTATTGATATAACACATTTTGAGATATTTTTTTCCGTTGTTGGTAACTTTTCTTTTAATTTTCTAGGGGCCGTAGACATCTTGTGCACCACCAATCCAAATGCAAGAATGGAACACCCGGGCATCTGTTCCAAGTTTTTTGACTGTCGAGACAGGAAGCGAATGATCAAAGAATGTCCTTATCCAAGATTGTATTCCCCAACTAAACAGGCGTGTCTAGACTTCAAAGAAGTTGACTGCAACGGCAGGGTTGAATATAAGGCACCGTGTAAGAATCTAAAAACCCATTTGAGCAAATTTGAGTGATCAATTGTTTTTTTTTTTAAATATAAGGCACCATGTAAGAATTTAAAACTCATTTGAGCACAATTTGAGTGCTCAATTATATATTTTTTAAGCAAGAATTTTTTTACAGTTTACTTTTTTTGGAAACTTACAAAACAATAACAATCATTGCACACACAAGTGAAGATAAGAATGGTTTCATACAGTTATTTTCCTTAACACGATTCATACCTTTTGAAATTATGAATAATTCAATTTATTAAACTGGCATAACGTTACAGGTGACTATGAGCAATACCAGTGTTCTGGACCGGATTGTCCGGTTTGTGAACTAGAAAACCCAAGCTGTGAAGGACTTCCGGACGGCAAGAACGCCTTCCTGGGTAGAGAGCAGACTCCGTGGTATATTGAATGCGAGGGGGAAAGAACTATCAATAGATTAACATGTCCCGGAAACAATAACTTTGACCCTGTCAACAGGCGATGTTTAGGACAAGACATCAGTAAGACTTTGTTGTTGTACTTTGCAAGCATCCATGTGATTCGGTTAATGTTTATTTATACCTATTTTGTTATTAAAAAAATTTCCAAAGAAATATATTTAATATATCTATAATTACAAAAATTCTGTATCCATTCTATTTCGCAAAATATGCGGCTAATGTGCTCTTTCTCATGGAAAATAATGACAAACATTTCAAATTTTTTCCCAATGAAATTAATTCTCTATTCTGCTTTGGTCCGACGTTTATTTTCCAAACATCCAGTCTAAATTTTCCCATCGATCCAAACTTATTATTGTACAAAATCTCATCCTCTGATCTTAAATTCTGTTAAATCAGAAACTGGCCATGGTTTACTCGCTTCTGTGAAGCTTTTATATTTAAGTGCATTGATAATCATCAATTTCTAGCAAAGAAGAAAATATTTTACACTTGTTATCGCCACGAAAGCGGACCAAATATTTTTTTTTTGTATTTATTTGCAAAATTAAAATTTAGCACCAGCTCGCTCAATTAGGACCATTACACGCTTAGTCTGGACTTTCAGTAAGGCGTGGCATTCTCGACGTTACCGAATTAGCTTCGGAAATTTACACAGTTTCCCTTCACTGTTGAAATATACATATGATAGAAATGCGGCCGAATGTCAACTGGTATAGTAAATAGCCAATTAAAAGTTCTCTCACGGCACAGAGGTGTGGCATAAGTCGTCTCATCGTTGTCAACAACAATTTTAAGTTTCTGATGTTAATAATTTCTTAACCAATGAGAATCTACTAGTATTCGCCGTTACGTATAGCGCCGAGAATGCCACGCCCACTGAAAGTCCAAACTCAGGAGAAAATCGTCCTATCTGTCAGTATTTCACTTGCAAGACCGAATGAATATTGCAGGAAGTAGCCGCAGGTTTGCGGAAATAGAATCGATCTAAACATTTCTTTCGACGAAAAAGTTTCATTAACCCTACATTTTAAACATGTTGCATTCGAAAAGCTATTTATGATAATGAATAAATCTTTCCTGAGGACCAACCTTGTTCCCAGAAAAGGCGCCTTACGATCCAGAGGAGATAGCCAGGCAAGCTATTAATGGCATTCCACCGATGATTGACGTTAACCGGTCTAGGCCTCCACCCCCTAACGTTCCTGACCCCGTCAACACCCGGTCCTCCATGAATATTAACAATATCGTGGGCACCAACAGCATCAACAACAACAACCTGCGACCCGACTTCCCCCGAGCTCTGTCGACGATGAACGATGTATGTCGCGGGAACGAGGGTCTGCTTCTGATGGATCCGAACAACTGTGCCAGGTACTACAACTGCTCTCGGTATGCTGTTCAGTACGAAGGATTCGAACCTAACCAGGACGAGTGTCCCTATCCTCAGCTGTTCTCGCCAGAGAGTGGATTCTGTGAGGATTTCCTGGACGTTAACTGTAAAGGCCGATTTGTTCCGAAAGCTCCCTGTAAGTACCAAGAATTCTAGAAAAAAAATTCTTTCATATTTTCAGTATCTTGATACATGTACATCATTATTATTAAAACATTGCTGTGACGTCATGCCTTTGTTCTTGCAGTCTAAAAAATTACCTGTAGCCGTCCGATAATAATAATTACCAGTCTGATAATGTATTATCGGACGGCAATGATAACAAAATCGGACGGTATTTAAAAAACAAAAAAGAAGAGTGAAATTAAGGTTAAATTTCTCCAGAAACCCCAATAAAAATGTTAAGAAAAATAATTCAGGGAAAGCAAACGCAAGGAGTTTAAGTTGCTACAAAATAGCAAATCCATGAAAAAAAAAATCCGAGTTTAAACATTCCACAACATTAATACTTTTCACTGTTTAAAAGAATTTTTGATACAGCACTTTGAATAAGCGAATCTAAATCCATTTGTGAAAAAGAGTCTGCAAATCTCCTTATTATATGTTTGTTCCCCGATGGCCACACTTTTAAAACCTGAGAATATTTCCATTATCTAAACTAAAACTTCAGGGTAAAAATCCGCATTTTTACTTACTTTGGTGATGGTTATAACATCACCCGAAATTATGTCAGTATCAATGTCAATTTATGCACATCATATATATAAATGCCCCCCCCCCCAAAAAAAAAATCTTTCACCTACGGACCGCTGTCCTGCTAAACTAAACGACTGCCATTGAATGAATGAAATGAAACAACAGTTCACTCACTTTTTTACTGTCTCATTTCTTTTGTCTACTTATTAGACGGGTAGAAAACAATGGGTACCTGAACTCCCATTGTGTTATTATCGGACTCCTCCAGGTAACTTTTGGACATTTAAATTGCAATGTTTTAAGTAAGATATATGCCTCATACTATTCTATATGTAAAATTATCAGACAGTTTTCGGCCCTAACGGGCCTCAAACAGTCTGATAATTTTACATATAGAACAGTATTCGGCATATATCCATTACTTCGATTGATTATCCAATTCAGGCCAGTACTTAAATTCCCAAAGATTTTGTGAAGGACCGATGTGTGCCTTGCCCTGTGATGAAAGGTCGCCATCTTGTGAGGGCATGAGAGATGGAAACAATACATTTATTGGAAGAGAGTTATCGCCCTTCTATATCACTTGTTTTAAAGAAAGAACCATATCGGTTGGAATTTGTCGATACGGTGTTTACGACCCAAATCTTCGAATCTGCACCACAGAACTCGATCCTTGTAAGTACAGTATATTATTTTAATCCTTCTTAAGTTTTACTTAGATATTTTATTCATAATCCTTAATAAATAAATACACGGAAATATTTGTAAACTTTCTATCTAAAATGCAGATTCTGTGGATACTTTCTGTAAAAAGCGACCAACAAGAGTGTTTCCCCACATCGCAAACTGTGCCAGGTATTACAACTGCAGTTCCATGTCGAAGGATCCCGTCCTTGGTCGGTACTTACGCGAATGTCCATACCCCGAGTTATTTAACATTGAAAGCCTGAGCTGTGTTCAGCGTGAGGCTGCTAACTGCAGGTGGCGCTACGAACCGAGGGACCCATGTAAGCCATATTTAATATTTTGTGCTATACTTGTAGAGTAAACAGTATCTTGTTTAAAAAACTATTAAAATTCATTTTATAATATTACTAGGATAAATTAATACTTTAACGTACAGTATAATTAACGTGTTTAATTAATACAAAAATCTGCATGTTCCATTTAACTCATATTAGCAAAATTTCATACTTTCACCTTCATACACAGAACGGCATTTTGTCGATTCCGGTCAATACATATGTAGAATTCTTTGGGTTTGAATGCGGCACATGTAGCATTTTTTGTACTCAACTGTATATTTTAATCAATAGATTTCTTTTATTAACAAAACATGTGAAAATATTGACCATTATAGGCGAATGGAAGAAAAACCAGTATTGTGAAGATCCAAACTGCGTTCCATGCGCAGTACGCTATAACGGCTGTCGTCAGAAGCCGGATGGAAACCACGCTGTTCCAAACAATAACTTCGAATACTTAGAATGCCAGAACGGGAATGTGCTGAGTCTCCGATCTTGTGCACCAAACACCTACGACCCAATCAATGCCGAATGCAGCATGCCTGAATACAACTGCAAAAATCTTCCTGACGGGAGGAACCCAATGCCTGGAAACGAAATGGGTTATATACTCTGCCAGAAAGGAATTTACGCCGGGAAAGACTCGTGTTCTCCAAACTTTTACGATCCCGTCAACAGAATTTGCAGACCACGGGCAGATACCATCTCCTGTGAAGGGCTGGGAGATGGAATTCACCCTATGCCAAAGTCCAATACTGACTTCTTCCGTTGCGAAGGAAACGTGATGGTGGAGCCCGGCTCCTGTAGCCCAGACTATTTTGACCCTGTATTGAGGAAATGCACGGCCACCTTGGCTAACAGAAACGTCCCGAGAGAAGCTGAATCAAGAACTGGTCTTTTACCGGATGGAGGATTACCCAATATACCGATACCTCCGTCAGGGTTTAGGCCAACAACCAGAGTTCCTCCCGTTCTACGAAGAGATCCACCACCTAGCGAGTTGGATTGTACCGGCAAACTTGACGGGTTTAATCCCATTCCAGGATCTGCAACCGAGTTCTATATCTGTAATAACGATAGATTCATAGGTTATGACACGTGTAAACCATACATCTTTGATTTCGAACAGCGGAGCTGTGCTGTTGCCCCCTGTATGGGAATGCCGAACGGCCCCACGGCTATACCAGGAAATAACGTATTTTTCATTGTGTGTGAAAATAATAAGATGTCGCAGCTTCGATCGTGTTCCCCATTGGTGTTTGATCCCATAAGTCAAAGGTGTGTCGATGAAAGGACTTCACAGTTCAACCCATGTAAGAAACTTTTCTGGAGCGATAGCTAGCTTTTGGAACACTGCATAAAATGGTATTTGGATACTTGAAAGGCTGACCAAATGCAAAATGTATATCTGCACTCGCACCTGTGGCGTAAACAAAAGCACCTTTATAGCATTAGCTGGTACATGGTTAATTCTTAACAAAACAATTATCGTCTATGCAAGCATATGAGGAAGATAGTTTAACACTGCTGTTTATTATGATGATACTTATAACTACCCTGGTCACATGATAATTCGGTTAATTGGCAAAGTCACGGGAATTATCACGTGATTACAGAAAAGTCATCACCATCATACTCAACAGGTTAATAGACAATTCTCCATGTTTTTACATTTACCAAGAATTTGTTGTGTCCGTCTTCCTTTTTCCGAACCTTAGATTTTTTTTTATCTTAATTCACATATTAACCGTAACAGTATTGGTAAATGTAAATACAGTTGTATTTGCGTTTGATTTCATTATAATAAAATATGTGAACTGCATGCATATGTATTTGATGTACTGATGAAAGTTGTGCTCATTTGATCATACATAATGATATATTATTTGTAAACTTTAAAAAAAAAATTATCAATTATACTTGCCAATAGTATTTAGTTGACCAAATATTTGGCTCCACCTTTCTATGCTATGCTTTTAGCTTCTTTGCTTGACAAGGCTTCAAAACTACGTATATATTTTTACTAACAAAATTGTGACGTTTTCACTTAGTTTGCTTTGATACTATTATTTTCAGCCGATCCTGTTGCATTCTGTACCGAAAATCCACTAGCAATAATGGCCCATCCAGACAACTGCGCGCGCTACATAGACTGCACGAATAGGAACTCTCTGATTGGTCAGTACCAACACGAATGCAAGTACCCGGATCTATTCGACAGTTACAACAATTCGTGTAAATCTTATCGAGAGGTGAACTGTGGAACCCGTCCGGAACCAAAAGCACCTTGTAAGTATAGACTCAAAGACCTGCTTCAGGCGGCTCTAAGAAGCCTTGATTATATGTACAATTTGTATATCTGCAAAACAGCAATACCAGCATTCTATTTTCTATAGCAAAGGCTATTTCATATATCAATGGAGACTAATCCTTTTAAATAATATACAATATAATATTCAATTATATATAAATATATAATAAAATACATAGTGCATGTATATGCATTTATAAAAAAATATATATATAATAATATGTATGCTTTTAGATGAAATATATAAAGGTATAAGTAAAAGTATCTTATTACATTTATTCAACTAAAGGACCCTCTATACACTCCATAGTGCATTCCGCTGAATGTGTAATTACCGCTGTGATATTTTGCCTACCTTTCTCGCTTGAAAAGAAGGGGGGGGGTATATGCTGAGAAGGTGTCAACCTGTCCGCCCATTTCATTAGGGGTAGCCATCTCTTATGTACTACTAAATGCAGATTAATGAAAATTCTACTAAATGATTATTACATAAGTAAATGTGCACCTTTTCTTTTACATTTCTGTTGGAAAGATATATGGGATTTCCCTTGTAGCAAGACGTTGACCTTGCCATTTTGATTTAAAATTGGGATTACGAATCTCGTCTACACAACTCCTTCTATACAACTGAATAATTTAAAGAGCCTTTCACAGAAATCTTAATTAAAGTAATAGAGTGCCTTATTGCAGTAATAATAGAGTGTCGCGTTATATCTCCTTATCTTTTCGTTTTGATTGGACAGATACTTGGGGTTATATTTATCAAAACATGGACTTTTCCATTATATTCGCTGTTTTGTGAGTGCAACTCATAATAAGCACCATAATGAAATTCAAGGGACAAATAATTACTTACATACTGCCTAGAAATGCACTTTGCGTCCATTTTTGAGCTCAGTGTTCACAGTACCTCTAGTTTCGCAATTATTTCCTGATCTGTCCCAAGATCTAAAATTTCGAAGAAAACATCTACAGTAAATTGCTAAAAATGTAGTAATTTCAAACATTCTTAACAAGTAATTCAACCAGAATGAATTCACGACCAAAAATAGTTTTATTTAAATACTTGATTTTAGAATTATATTCATATCATAACCACATAATGTATTAATCTTTTAAACATCATGTATTTTTCTTCCGTGTGTGGAAAGCAACGTTCCGCTGCTGAATTCATAGGGACACTGTATTTTAATTAATGTCACCCACTTCTCTACACTAATTGTCATACTTTTTTCTGAGGGGTAATTTGGTGATACCCTTCTTTTTTTCTGAAGGTTGATTTTGTGATACTGTCTTTCTGACAAAGTAGTCATAATGCATATTTTTATTGATAAATAGAAAGTATGTCAGAAAGACAATACCCTTCCTTAGATGAAAGACATGAAGAAACAATGTATACTCTATATTTAAACCTATTGAACAAGAATCTTTCAAAAGACGTTTCATTAGTGTATAGAGGGTTTTTTCTAAATTAAATGTAAAAAGACATACTAACAGTGACTATTTAACCTGCTTTAACCACTAATGGAGCCCTATATTCAGTGAAGTCTTGTAACAGGTGACTATAAGATGAACCTAATCTGTAAAGACCCTTCCGGTTCCTGTCCCCCGTGCGAGGCCAAGCATCCAAGCTGTATCGGAAAGAGAGACGGGCCCCAGGCCGTCCCCGGTAAACCTAACTTCTTCATGGAATGTATGGACGAACGAACAAAGAGGGTTACACAGTGCCCCGTCTTGGCGCCTAACTTTGACCCCGCCCTTGGTACCTGTAGTATGGGACTGGATTCGTGTATGTAGTGCATTGTCTGCAGTATGGAAGACGATTTATCCAATTATTTTACATATATCACTAAAATATCAATTTTTGTCAAATTATTTAAATAAAAAGATTCATTAATTATTGTTGTTTTACGCCGAATCGGCAATATTTCCGCCATATTAAAGGTTAATTTGATTTCAACAGTGAACCCCACCCCGTACTGTAAAGCTAACCCGTCTGCTGTGGTCCCACACCCTGACAACTGTCACCAGTACATTGATTGTAGACAGAAAAACACGCCCCTCGGAAATTACCTACAGGAATGCCCTTATCCACTCCTAGTGTCTGAAAACGACACGAACACGGGCACGCCCTGTCAACCTTTTGACCTCGTCAACTGTGGACTGAGAATGGAACCAGTGAGCCCATGTATGTAAAGCCTAGTTTTTATTTTCCATTTCTGGTGATATGCCAGAGAAACTAAAGTTTATGACCGAAATCTAATGCATTTTAAAATGCAAATCTTTACCAAATCTATTTATATACTAATGTTTTAAATTATTAAATAGATACTAGAAAGGACAAAATATTTAAAGTATCTTTTTTATCCAGCTTTTTCTGTTCATACCGATATAATTACATTATTACAGTATTTGATAATTTTTTCTGAAAAATCCCATTATATCTTTAACGAATTGCACTAAATTAAATAAACTTCACGTCTAGGTGACTACGAGTTTTCCCACAAGCCGTGTAATGAGGCAGACCCCAGTAAGTGTGTTCCGTGTAGTGTAAGACTACCCAGCTGTAGAAACCTTCTAGACGGAACTCACGCGCACCCAACCATGCCCAACAAATACTTGATCTGTAAGTCGGAGAGAACGCTAAGGGTCATGACCTGTCCTAAGGGAGTGTTCGATGAGGCGGCCGGACAGTGTAGGGCAGCTGTCGATTCTCGTGAGTGTTTACCTATACGTTATGTAACTAATGCATCCATTGCCCAACTGTTTTGTTGTCTCACATTTAAACCTTGCATTTTTCATTAACTAATATTTCATCAATACTGTAGGGAACCCCATCGCCTACTGTCAACGTAACCCCAACGAACGGCTGCCTGACCCAGACAACTGTGCGCGGTTCTTCGAATGCTCACTTCCTAACAGTAAATACGGCTCCTACGTTGACGAGTGTGAATACCCTAAGCTGTACGACTCCGCCGCCAAGAGGTGCAGACCCTTCATGCAGGTGGACTGTGGCAGAAGAAGAGTTCCTATTGATCCCTGTAAGTTTGGAATTACATATTTCTTTAAACCGCATCAAAATATTTAATTGCTCCCAATTTAGCAGTTGTCCTAACAAACGGTTCTTTCTGCTTTTCTTTGTCCTGTTTGATCGCTAATTTAAGAATAAAACAAATAATTTTATACATATAGAATTTTATTTTCCAAATGCGACAATTTACTTCCGGCATTACACTATAATAAACCTACTTAAAATATATATGCATGTTTTCTTTTCAGGTGAATATATCCAGAACGAGTTTTGTCCCCCTGGACGACCGAACTGTAAACCATGCAGAGAACGTATCCCATCATGCCGAGGTCTTCCTAACGGAAATAACACTGCCCCCGGTCAAGAGGGAGGGTCTATTTATATCACCTGCTTTAACAATCGAACCATCTTTGTCAGAACTTGCGAAGGAGGTGTCTTTGATCCAGTTACCCGATCTTGTGTTTCTGCTGCACTTGAAGTCAGTCCAGGTAAACAGTTAAAGTTAATAAAAAATAAAAAAAAAATTTAATTATTAAGTTTGTATTCTCGCAAAATTCACTGAAGCATTCTCAACTCGTACAAACTACTCTATACATACACAGAAAATCCACAAGCCTACTGTCAAGCTAACCCTGGAATGAAGTTAGAACACCCTACAGATTGCTCCAAGTATTATGACTGCTCCAAGCCGAATGGAGCCTATGGACAGTACCTCTTTGAGTGCAAGTACCCGGACCTTTTTGATCAGGTGTCGAAACGATGTGAAACCTTTAGGACTGTTAATTGTGGAGCCAGAACTGCGCCACTTAATCCTTGTGAGTACTTTTTACATTTTTCACTTCAAAAAGGATCAATTTTAAACTGTAGAAACATTTTTGGTTCTAAGTGTTTTGATGATATATCATTTTGTGTTCATGCTAAATGATTTTCCTGGTATGTTTAGGCGACTACCTGCAGAACCGCTGTAAACCCGGGGACCTTAATTGCGTGCCTTGCAGGGAGCGGCTACCTTCATGCGTAGGACTACAGAACGGAAACAATACAATTCCGGGAAGAGACCTGACAGACACATTCGTAGTCTGCTGGGAGGGGCGGACTGTCAGCGTGGAACGATGCCCGGCCGGATATTTCGATCCTGTTCAAAGGAAATGTAGAACAGAAATCGGAGCAGGTATGACAGTCCTCAAAAGAAAATTTAATAACATGTTTGTGTTAAGGGTACTCCACACCATATGACTTGTGACGTATGTAGAGAAAAGATACTTTTACTTCCGGTTTTATGTAGTTTGTGCGCTGACAATTTGCCGGGGCACCGCCTGTGAGAGAGTAGAGATAAAGGTTTTGTTAAGGGAAAAGTATGCAGTATACTGAGAGCGACTCCCTATTCATACATGTAAACAATAAAGACATGACATGGTCACGGAGTGACCGATAGAAAAAGATGTCCTTTTTTTCTATAAAAGAACAACAGACGTCTGGGTTTATGTTACAAAATAATTCGTAAGCAACGGGTGTCAGTATGAGAAGAACAGTTAGGTTATTTATACTTTAGGCTAATCAACCCAATTCCCATATGATCGTTAACAGAGTCCGTTTTAAAAGTTGATATTTTTTCACACTAATTTGTGCATTTAAATAATACATGATCTCATTGTGTGTTTATAAATATTGATAAAATAGCGTGCGTTTCTAGTTTTCCTCTTTTATATCTGTCCAGTTCACTACTACAGTAGCCAGTCATGAGTAACTATATATAGTATAGTGACGTATGCAGAGACTTGCCAAAGTTTTTGAGTCCCGGGTAACAGAAAAGATAACTCAAAAAAGGAACTTTGATACCAACGATTTTGAAAATATTTAATACATCAGTGCATCTAATTCAATTTGTTGGTGTAATCTTATTCATTGATGCTGTTTCTATACAAAATGAGTCTTCCTTGATTTTTCTCTACGTATTTTAGAGAAAATGAGTTTTATTCATTTTTTATAAATTAAATAAATTTCTATAAAAAATATGTCGATTCATAAAATGAAGTTTTTATGGTTATTCTGTGAGCTTAAAAATATACGATAGGGTAAGACACAATTCATTGTGCTACGTATGAAAACACCTTGGGAAAAATATCTTGAAATTTGTGAAATTATTACATGTATTTTAAAAAATCAGTATAAATTATATTTTGATTCCTGGGCAGTTTTTAAAGGTTGATATGCTTGTTAAAAGAAATGCTCAGTAATATGAGAACATAAGCTGTGTGTGTATGGAGGACCCTTAAGGAGGCTCTTTTTCAAAAATTTACCATTGTTAAATTATATACCAGATTTAACTTATTTTTTTAAATCATGGTATATTTAGCTGTCAACTATCATTTGGCAAAGAAAAAATTCATATATTTTAGTTTAAAAATTTTATCATTTTGTATATCTTTATATGGAGCTCTCCTTTTAAAGGAGATTGAAATAGTCTAAAAATGGCTGTCACCCCCTAGCCTCGTTAAGACAAATTATCAATGTATTATTTTATTTTATTCAGCGGTTATACGGGCTTACTGTACGGCCCATCCCGGAGAAATAAGAGCGAATCCCGTCAACTGCGATCAGTACTTTGACTGTGGTGAAGAGAGCATCAAGCAGAGAACGTTCCTCCGGGAGTGTCCTTATCCACATCTGTTCCATGCCGAGTCATCCACATGTATGAATTTCACAATGGTGGATTGTGGAAAACGACGAGAATACACAGCGCCATGTACGAATCCATAACATATCCAAACCTATCGTTTTAAGTCCATACTCTCTTTCAAAGTTTTTCTTTTGTGGTTATTTTTGCTTTCTGATTAATTGAATCTCAATTTGACAGGTGACTATTTACAAAATCGCTGCCCGCCATCCAATCCTAGCTGTAAACCTTGCCGCGAGCGCCATTTTGACTGTTCAAACTTACCAGACGGCCTTAATCCTATCAGCTTGGACGCACCAAGCAGCAACTACGCCCTCTGTTTCCAGGGGAGAACAATTGTCACTGAGGCATGTAAAGAGGGAGTCTTTGACCCCAGAGAAAGACGATGTGTTGGACAATTTACAGAGGGCACACAACAGCGACGGGATTTTAGTGAAGGTACATAAATACTACCCATTTAGAAAATCGATATACCAGTATGTAGGGTAATTGATTCTTTATGATTTTGAAAAATTCCAATTTTTAAAAGACGTGCAAGTGAATTCATGTATTTACATTTTAGTACTCATAAGGATTCCTTATATTTACAGATATGGTGAAGCAGCACTGTCGTGACAATCGTATGGCTATTCTGCCCCATCCTTTCCAATGTGCCCAGTATTACGACTGTAGACGGATGATTGGAAACAGTCACTTGAGGGAATGTAAATATCCACAGCTCTTTGACGAAACCACCATGACGTGCCGAAATTTTACTGAAGTCAACTGCGGGGAGCGTACCGAACCTCGAGCTCCATGTAAGTACAGTAACGAAAAAGTACTCAGCATCTGTAAGTACAGTAACAAGAAAGTATTGGGCACCTGTTCTGAGAATCTTTAAGGTTTTATTTACAAAGTATGATTATAGGAATCAGACGATATTGCAGGTTACACTTATGAATCCTTGGCTGTCCGAGTTTAAATTTATTGCAAGGGCATATCAATATCCTGTACGAATTACATGCCAACTGCATTGAAACTAGTTATGACAACAACATTTGTACAACTTGTCTTCCATTAGGTGACTATCTCCAGAACCACTGTGAGATGAATGCCACGGACTGTACGCCGTGCGAGGAGCGATTACCAAGTTGTATTAATCTACCGGACAATAATAACCCGTATCCCAATAAACCAAACTCCGAGTACTACATTAAGTGTTACAGGAACCGAACTGTGTCTGTAGAGGCCTGTCAAGTGTCCAAATATAACCCCACCACCAGGGACTGCTCCGATCGAGTCGATCGACGTAGGTTTTCTTTTTGCTAAATCATATTATTGTAAAATAACATGGAATTACATGCAACTTCAAGTATTTTGATGAATTCTAAAGAACAAAAAGGATTAACAGACATGTATATAAGGACTTCTCAGTTCTTGGCTTTTTGTAGGTTATGATATAAGGTAAAAAAAATCAATTATATCTGCATTGTTTTTTAGAGATTCTGGGGAAATTTTGCCGTGAGAATCCAAATGCGATAATCCAGGATCCGGAGAACTGCGCGCGATATTATAACTGTAGTGAACCTTCAATGGTGGCTGGTCTGGATCGACCTTACCTCAGGGAGTGCTCCTATCCAAAGCTGTTCGCATCTCCGGCTGTCGGGTGTCAATTATTTATGATGGTGGATTGTGCCAAACGTAGAAAAGTACCAATGTCACCTTGTAAGTAGGGAAAAATGTGTCAAATTGAACAAAAGTTGATTTCGCTGGAAGCTGATGAAATAGACAATACTTTTAAAAATGCTTTGTTAAAGAAAACAATATCGTTTCCAAAGCGCGCAGTCGATATTTTTTTTTTCAAAATGAAGTATAACCTTGAAATAAGAAATCATAGAAAATAATTAAAAACATCATGCTAGTATTTACAACTTAATATTGTGTATTTTATAACGAATTTTTTTTTTTCATTTAAGGCGAATATGTTGAGAACCAGTGCTTCGGAGCAAATTGTGAGCGTTGTGAAAGTAAATTCCCATCCTGTGTCGGTAAGGAGGACGGGAGTAACATATTCCCTGGACGGGAAAACACAGGATATTACATCGTTTGTTATCGTCAAAGAACAGTTGCCATAGTGTCATGTAACCAAGGAATTTACAGCCATAGCGAGCGCGCATGCGTAGGCGATCCAAATCCAAAACCAAGACTACAATAGTTACATCTCTAGAAAGATCTGGATGTGTTATTTGAAGGCATGCATGTTTAGAACAAACTGTAAATATTGTGTAAGAATATGTGTTTCACATGTGTTCCTGTAAATATCAGTATAACCTGAATATAAAGTCCTCATATCGATGAATCGGAAAACAAAAACCCAGACTGAATCTACAAAGTGCATTTTGGAAAACAACGAGAAGCAAAAGGTTTTCACAGCAAAAGAAACATCGCAGGATGTTCCTTCTAACAGGGAAATTACATGGCCTTTATCACTTCGCTGACATTCCAGGGACGTTTCCATTTTCGGTAAAACTGTGCCCGCCATTAATATTATCATTAACTGTTTAAACGTTTTAACGGTAAAAACTGATTAAAAACACCAACAGTTTCGATTGTTAGACTGACGCTAAATCTATTCTACCTCTATAAAGTCAAACAAGTATGTCGAATTAGTAAATCTACATTTGTATCCAAACTTATAATGTAGAGTTCGTTTTGAATTAAGGATTACTAAATGATTGCGATATGAACAGAACGAAATCAGTATGGTATGTAATTGTTATTTTTACAATGACAATAACGAGGGAACAAATACTTACATGTGAATATATAAATCGCTCTATAGCCTCGTTGATATTTATGGGTTGTGTTATTTCAGTTAAAACTTTTTGTGAAATGCCAACATATACGCAAAGATTTTAATGTCTGAGCGAGTTGTCTCTCTTGGGCATATAATTGTTTGAGATATTGTCACTTGAGAAGAAATCGTTTATAATGTAATTTTTCAATCTTTTTAAGTCGGCAAAACAATCATTGTCATCTGTATTTATTAAGCATCTCGTTAAATTATGATATCTAATAAATTAAACTTCAAACATCGATTTGTATTTTGTTTTTATTCTCGTCCGGTCCTTTCCCGAATCATATTTCCAGTCTATTTTAAAGCTGAACACTTCACATAAATAGGCACTGTCAGACGGGTATATAAACCGTTTGATTTCGTTACACCTGATTGCACACTCGAAACTCGTGGCCGACATGTATTACTCTTTTCGAGGTCTTAGATTTTTTGTGTTTATTTCTTGTTTTCATGTGCATTTTATGTTTGTAAATAATGTATTGACCTGTATTTTTCAAGACACTTTTAAAAAATACGTAAAGTTTGATAATTTCATCGAGATTGAGTAGCACGCAGTGAAAGGTGTACGTCTTACACTCGTCGGACCTCTAAAGCAAAATACATTGAACTGATAAGCGATCTGCTCCTTATATATGGGTTGTAGGGAGAGCGTTGAAGAACGGGAAATATGGCGGACTATGCCTATTTACGAGTAGTGTTCAGCTTTAATTAAGCTACATTATTTTTTTGGAAAAATTGGAAAATTTGTTATCAAGTTTCAATTTTATGAGTGAGTTATACTTACCAGTCATAAATATACATTAGGATATCTTTCCCTTTATTAACGTTCATAATTCGCGGGCAAGCGTTTAAAAGAATAAGATTCAATCACTTATAAGACCGAAATCACATCTCAGACGCTTGCCCAAATCAGTTCATATAAGCGGGCAACAGAACTTTCCCAACCTACATGAAAATACACCTTCCAAAAATAAATTTTTCTTAGGGGTGGAAGGTGGGAAAGTTGACTGGTAAGTATAACTCTCTCATAAAATTGAAACTTGATAACAAATTTTCCAGTTTTATTTCGTTCGTTATACTTACCAGTCATAAATATACATTAGGATAAATCAGATTTAAAAGCAATCTGAAATGGATGGAGGAAAAGAAAACTTTTCGTACCTCAAAAATAAAATTTCAAGAACAACAATTTTCATCTGTCATAAGTTATGCCGTCCACCAAATACTATGTACATAAATTGAGTGATTGGAAAACTACATTGTATATACATGTACAACAAATGTTCTCACTCGCAACTCGCCGGAGATGATCACATCTCTAACAAGAAAAACTATTTACACAGTAAACATATACTGAGTAATTAATTATTTAAGGAACATTTTAGAACCGGTACGCTGTCATCTACATCTCTCAGATAGAAATTGCAAAAAGTAGATTCTCGGCTCCAATATGCAGAATCTGAAATTGACTTCATTGATGCACCATTAAATAAAGCCCAAGAAGGACCTATTGCTCTTGTACTATGTCCTTTCACTTTGGATTTTTGTTTGTTTTTCATAAGCCATATGTATTGATGTGCTTGATGTGGCTCAAGTAAACTCAAAAATAATTTATTGCAATCTGTTTTCAGTTTTTTTTATGAGCTTCTGTTTTCTTCAAATAGAAAAACAAAGATCTTTTTGGATCCAATAACTTGTTTTCTGAAAATGTGGGAACAAATATTTTTGTTCCATAATGGTTGGGTCTATCTTGCTTTGCCAAACCTTCTCTGATGAAAGTTACTCCTTTTTTCTGAACATTGACAAATCCTTCCCCCAGTCTGAGAGATTGTAGATCGCTGCATCTCCTGAAAGTAGTAATAGCTATCAGAAAAACAGTTTTGTATGTCAGATGTTTCAATGATGCACTTTTTATAGGTTCAAAAGGAGCAACTTGCAACATGTCAAGAACCCTTGGCAAATCCCACTCTGGGACTAGTCTAACTTTTGGTGGTCTGGAGTTAAAGACTCCTTTGATTAGTCTGATAATGTAAGGATGTTGACCTACAGAAACATTATCTACTGGAGGTAGTACTGAGGACAACATTGACCTGTAACCTGCAATAGTTCTATACTGAAGACCTTTGGTATACAGATCTGTCAAAAAACTTGCTACTTCAACTAAAGAGGCTGAATAGGGATCAATTTCCCTTGAACTACACCAGCTACTGAACTGTTTGAATTTACAGGAATAATATTTTTGTGTACCTGTTCGCCAACTTGCTGCCAAAAGGGTTATAGTGTCTTTAGAAAACCCTTTCTTTTTGAATCCTCTGTCGATAGAAGCCATACAGTTAGTTGAAATACTTCTGAATTTGGATGATAAATTTTTGTGTTCGGTTGTTGAAGTAAATTTGGAATATTTGGAAGTCTTTTTGGAATTGAGATTAAAAGCTGAAGTAGCTCTGTGTACCAAGGTCTCCGTGGCCTACAGGGAACTATCAGAATTACTTGACAATTGAATTGTCTGATGTGCTGAAGAACTTTGGGAATTAGACAAATCGGAGGGTACGCATACAGAGACATCCCTCCCAAGATATTGTCAGGGCATCCAATGCATATGCTTGGCTGTGAGGAAACCAAGTGCAAAAGGTCTGAGTTTGACGATTGTAAATAGATGCAAACATGTCTATCAGAGGTTGACCCCATAACAGAAAAATTCTCTGAAGAATTCGTTTGTTCAGTATCCATTCTGTTTGCCTGATCTTGACCCTGCTCAAATGATCTGCCAGAATATTTTATTTTCCTGCTATGTGAGCAGCTTTCAGCTTTATATTGTGACCTATTGCTCAGTTCCACAAATCCCATGTCTGATAACAAAGACGTGGAGATTTGGTTCCTCCCTGTTTGTTGATGTATTGAACCACTGTCGTATTGTCGCATCTGATCAAAACTGTTCTGTTTTGAACTTGTTTTTGAAAATGTTTCAGAATTAAAAAAAAAAACCACTGCTTCCATCTCTAGACAATTGATATGAAGACGTTTGTGATAACTGTCCCAATGTCCTTGAACTATTTGATTGTTTAGGTGACCCCCACCCTGTCAAGCATGCATCTGTGGTTATGGTCACCCCAATTTCTTCCAGTTGCAAAGATCTGCCCTGGAAATGTTCACTGAATATAACTACCATTGTAGGTGTTGTATTAGATGTGGTGTAATAGGAATTATTTTCTTCAAAACTAGAGAACTTGGTTTCCAAAAACTTGTAACTGGGCAGGCCTCATGTAAAGACGAGCATTTGGAATAAGATCTATGCATGAGGCTACTAATTTCCAACCATTGGAGAAAATCTTTGGCTGTTTTCTGACCCTGAATTAACATTTGGGTTGATTGTACCAATTTTATTAACCTGTTTGAGATGGAAGTACTATTTTTTGTTTGAACAAAAACAAAGCTCCCAGGTATACAATTTCCTGAGTGGGTTCTAGACAAGATTTCTCTTTGTTTATTATGAAACCTTGTGAAACCAATAGATTCAGGCACTTCTGTCGATATTTAAATAACATTTCTTTTGATTGGTTTACTATTAGCCAATCGTCTAGGTAAACTACTAGACGAATATTGTGTGTTCTCAAATATGCTGCTACTATAGACACCATTTTGGTGAAAACTCGAGGTGCTGATGTTGGTCCGAAACACATTGTTTTCCATTGATAACATTGGTTTTCTACACAAAATCTTAGAAATGTTCGATGTTTTGAAAATATTGGAATGTGTAGGTATGCATCTATTAAATCGATTGAAATTGCCCGATCGTCTGGTTTCACTAGATTTAACACTTTGTTTAAAGTGTCAATTTTGAAATGTTGCTTCTTGAGATACTGGTTGAAGGGTGTCAAATTTATGATGGGTCTCATTTTGTCACCCTTTTTGGGGACAAGGAAAAATGTACTGTAAAAACCTGTTTGACTCTCCTGATTTGAGACAGGCTCTATTGCATTTTTGTCCCCCGCTTGAAAAGTGGGGGATATTAATTTGGGTTTGTCCGGCCGTCCGTCTTTCTGTCTGTCTGTAACGCTTTCGTTTCCACACGATTTTTTGAGCTTTCGCAATGAAATTTTGCATAGCAACTCCCTATGGACTACCTCTATTGATTTTGAGGTCACAACAGACAAATTTGTTCTGTCTGTTATAACACTTTCGTTTCCACACGATATCTCGAGAAGCCTTTGAGCTTTTGCCATGAAATTTTACATAACAACTTCCTATGGCCCAAGGAAGACCCCTATTGATTTTGAGGTCAAAAGGTCAAAGTTCAAGGTCGTAAATATATACATTCTGTCTGTGTGTAACACTTTCTTTTCCGGGCGATATTTCAAGAAGATTTTGAGCTTTTGCAATTGAATTTTATACCAAAAGTCCCCAAGACCTCTCTCACCCCTCTCAAAGTGTTCCGCCCCGTTTGTTTTAGAAGTATTTATTGTATTACATGTCGCTATTTTTAGCACAGGGACATGAGGAGAGTTATTACGTATAAAACAGGTTCCAATATTACATCTATTAGAACTGTTTAATAAAGGTTAAATTAGACACAATGCATTGTGTTAAATTTTGAAAATATACACATGTATGTGACTTCATCTTTGTATATACAAATGTACTAGTAGTTTAAATAAAGTGATGGGAATATAGAGGCTTCGTGGCGTAGTGGTATGTCTCTCGCTTCATGTGCGGGAGATCCGGGTTCGAGTCCGGGACGATGTATTTTCTTTTTTTTTCTGAAATTTTTTTTTTTAACTAAATGATAGTATTCAGCATGTGAAATGAAAAAATTATAAGGTGTGGCTTCTACAAACTCATAAAATCATCATCACAGAGTGATAAATATTCCATATAAAAAAGAATCTTCAATACATGTACTCATAATAAAGAATTAGCAATCACATCTTTATATCCATATTGGCATATTTTATTTGCTTCAGTATGTGTACATGTATACATTTAATAATTTTTCAACTTAAGTCAGGGGGATCCGTACTGGTGCGGGGGACACAAATTCTCTGAATTAGCTTGTTTCTAATAAATCTTCTACCTCTTTTAACAACAAATGTTTTTGTATTTGAGGGATTGTTGTTTTCTTTACCCCTAAAAACTGGGGTTTTTGAAAAATTCTAGATTGTAACCCTCTTTGATTATTGATAACACCCAACTGTCTTGAGTTACAATATTCCAATTTTCTACAAAATGTTTGAGACGACCC